ACATAGCAACCATTCCTCATCAAATGAGCTTCTGTAGGTCTCACACACGCTAATAACAGTTGATATTAAATCAGCCGTACACAGGGATGTTTTACTTCTCTGTGTTGTCGTGTTCCTGTGGTGTTGTGCGCAAAACTAAAGCATTGTGTGTCCCTACCGACTGTATTGGTAATAAACTAACCAGACTACATCTGGTGCTCTGTGTGACCCTCTCAGTTTTCACCCGTTAGACGCAATGTGTCCTAAAAACAAACTTCTGTGTCCACAGGCAACCAAATCACTAAGAAACATCCTGGTTTACGTTAACTTGACTGACCGACAGATCACATAAATTCACACATTCAAACAGACAAGTGACTGGCAACACTTGGGTGATGCTTGATCTTAGTGAGCTGTCCACTGTTCGTTTGACCCTTCCACCCGCTACCTTGGGCTTTGTTTCCCCTTCCTCACATGCTGCTTGTTAAGCCCCCGGAGGCACATGCTGTGCACTGTCTACCCGCGTTGCCAGCTGAAGCACACGCGTGCAGTATGCGATCCCTGCTTTTAATGAATATCTTGTTGTAGACGCATCTGTTGACAACTCTCTTCCACATCTCTTCTTTTCAGAGTGGGTGCGCTGCCACAGCCCTTTTCTGCTGTTTCATTTGTTTTCTCAGGCTGCTCATCAGGGCCCATGAGGAGTAAATTGCCTTTAGACATGAGAAGACATCTGTCACACACCATTTCCTGTTTTATTTTGAAATGGTAACTCTCCTCTTGTTTCAGGTCACTCACCCTCCTCATGTGTCCCCAGTCTGATTGTCTTCCCGATTGTGTCCACCTGTTCCCCATTGCCCTCCATGTACTAATAGTCTGCGTCTTTGTCTAAGAGGCCTAAGAAACCAAGTTGTTTTCCTCCAAGGGAGTAATTTTTGTTTTGTACGATTTTGCAGCATAATTTAGTTAAATGGTTTAAGTTTTCATTGCCTTTTGTTTCCTCAGTAAGGAGTGATTTTTGTGTTCATAGTCCTTCATAGTGCCTCCAGTTTTAAGGAGGGTTTTTGTTAAGAGACGAGTGCTCACCTGGAAATTGTCAGACTGTTTGTGGGAAACTTTGTGACTAACTGATGTTGGTTGAGACACATTAGGACTATATTCAATCAAATATTATTGTATGTTATTCAATTAACATTATTAACATTATGTCAAGTTGTAAAAAATAAACCGCATCCATAAAACTGTAGAATTCCCTTTCTGCGCCTGTATTTGCATCGCACTGCAACAACTCATGAAGAAGAGAGGATGAAGGCCAGATGTTGGTGGCCTCTCCAAAACAAACCCAGGTAGATTGATGGATGTAGTTGTGTGAGGAGGAAACCAAAGCGCTGGTGGTGAAGTGAGGGCCATTGCCTGTTCTCCGCCTTCACAATGGGGCGTTGAAATGGATGTTGGCATCTTGGTTGGCACTAGGTTTGGAATATACTGAGGAACTTGAGCAGTATAGTACATGGAGAAGCACCATGGAATAATTACCTCGAGTCCACCAGAACAATCCATGTGTAACTGTCTCGCCGAACGGACTCATTTTCTGATTTTCTGCACCCTAATTAGTCGGATGTCATTATTCATCAGTGTCCTCGAAAACCATACAAAACTATTCATGTCAGGGGTTTCACGTGCGCCAACGTTGGGATTAAACTTTGCTCCAATAAGGTGGATTTGGGGGGCAGCTTCAGGTGCCAGTAAGAATGAAATACAAGCTGAACCTGGTTATGTAAAAGCTTGTGCAGGCAACAAACACCAAACCTTTACTTGTATGGTCTGTTTGACTAAATGCAGCATGTAGAGAGTTTTAGTACACCTCTGCATTAGCTCCACTCAGAAGAACCAAAGAGCTTCCTTCCTCCAACCTGCATGTTTTTAACAGCCAGCACTGCTAGTTTCAGACAATATGCAAGTAGAATTCACTCCAAAGCCCACTGCCACCCCCAAAGTTATCAAGACACATACAAAACTAACAAATTGTTGAAGACTCTCAATGAGTTAATGAGCCGAATATTGAACTTTCTTTATAAAGTCATAAGTATATACAACCCCAAATACAAAATAGGGGGGGATTGAAATCAATATATAGCCCTCCTCGCTTTCATGTAACTGAGCCATTGATATTGTCAGAGATCAGTTTCCCACTAAGTCAAAACGTGAGCACAAAAAAGGCTCCACTGGTCTCCAGAGCCTCAGGGAGCAGTTCAAGGATTCACTCAAAGGCTTCAAAGCACCTGACAAGACCTCCTTGCATCCAAACCAACCCAACGCCTTGTGTTTGCAAGAGGAACCGTGTGTGCGTGTGTGTGTGTGTGTGTGTGTGTGTGTGTGTGTGTGTGTGTGTGTGTGTGTGCGTGCGTGTGTGTGTGTGTGTGTGTGCCGGTGTGAATCACAGACTTGTGTTTGACACTGCAGCTGAAACAGATGTTGCCTGAGGTCATTTTGGAAATAACTTGCTTTGTGTCTCCTCAGCAGGTGTCGCCTAAGTTCATCTGCAGCGTGTGTGCGTGTGTGTGCGTGTGTGTGTGTGTGTGTGTGTGTGTGTGTGTGTGTGTGTGTGTGTGTGTCTCTTCTTTAAGGATGTGTCTTTACAAACTTCCTGACACCCACGCACACACTAAAACAGCTCCTGTCCTTATTGTGTCCTTATTGTGTCCTTATTGTGTACTAAGTTTAGCTTCACTACGGTTCGATCGTGATTAACATTTCATAAGCAGCAATAAATGAAACTATTTGTCGTAGAGCAGCGACTCGACCCCTCGGAGCAGAAGCTAATTCAGGTCATTGCCCGTCTTCAAACATACATGGGCTCAACAAATATATTATATTATATTATATTTGGATTTAAATGCACCATCGTGGACCAATAACAGTATAATACTAATAATCATTTCATTCTCCTTCTTTTGGTGCCAAAACTATTTTAAATCTTAAATAATACATTTAGTCTGACTGATAATACAGTGATCACTGTCACTATCAATGTAAAGATGATTCCAAACTTTTGAATTGTTGTAATAATAATAATAATTTGTAATGGATTTTATATTTAAGCAAATCCCAAAGTGCTACATGATAAAACAGGTAAGTGCTAACAATTGTTGTACCTTAAATGTAACAATCACGCACACATGAATCCCCTTTATTTAGTTCTATGTGTATGTTTGTAACTCGCATATTTTATATATTGTATATTTTGTGTTTTAGGATGTCATATGGAAATAAATAAAGACTTGAGTTGAGTGATTTTGCATTAGAGGCGATATGAATCCAACGGGGTCAATAATCTTATTGCCAGTGAAAGGGTTGAAATATTTTCCAAAGGGAAATAATTCAGATCTTAGACAATCAGCTCCAAAATATAATTTAAGTTGAAAGTACAGTAAACTAAAAGCCCCCCGATGAGAAGCAGCTGTGCTTTGGAAGCCGAAGCGCTGAACTGTTATCAGCTTGTGAGTAATCTGCACCTGATCCATCCAACACACAGTGGAGCACACAGGCTTCCCTACCTGGCCTGGTGCAACGCGAGGGGACGTTCTGAAGCACAAACAGGTACCTACCCGGTCCTCCCGACTGGGCTGATGCCCTGAAGCCGCTCACACAACACATACAGTCGGCCTACCTGTGGAAAGCGCACGCTCCTGCTGCGTGCTCTTCGGCGGTTTAGTGCACCCGGCCTGTCCACCTCCCTCTGCAACCATTTACAAGTAGCTCCCGACCGAAGAGGACAAGGGAAAAGCTCCTCCTCCTCCTCACGGGCTGCTCAAAGTTCAGTTTCCTGGTGGGACGCGCTGTGGGCTCGTACCGGGATGGTCTCCCAGCGGTCACAGAATACCTGGCTGCCTCTGGCGGCGCGCACCGCACAGACAAAGGAAACTGGTTGTGCAACTTTCCGGGCAGATCACAGCAGAGCTGTGAATGAATGAGTGTAACTAACCTACTGACACAGGGACAAGGGCGCCTTGCAGCAACGTGCACAGTGGCTCATACAAACCGCGTGTTGCAACTTACCACCATCATACAACATCGTTGTGTTGATATAATCCATCAAATGCGCAACCTTCGTGTTGTGAAATTGGATTTAAACAGAGCGTTATTGACTGAGTAACGAGTAGGTTCAAACCATTGTGTGAGTGTTAGGGAACCCTTTAAGGGCACCTTTAAAACCAGTGCGTCCACGCGTAAAGACGCAGAAACACGCGGCATCCTTTAGGAGACATTGCAGCTTTTAGCTCGGTGGCGATCACCGAAAAACCCAGAAACGGCACAAGTGATCGTTCGGGGCAATGAGAGCTTCTGCAACGGGATATTTAAGGTGGACGTCATGAGCGATGCATGCAGGGACTATTTGTCCCCACACTACTGTGTAGATATGAGATAACGTTACACAACGTTTGGTGGCTAATACCATTTTGTGCTGAAAGCAGCTATTTACTTACTAATTATAATTTCGCTGGTAACCGTATTATAAAAGCAATAAAGGTACTTGAGGCTGTACTTTATCTTCAATAATGTAACAACACCCCGAACTGCTCCATTATTGGACGATAATGTACAGCCTGAAGTACCTTATTGCTTTAGAAGAACATTGATGACACCAAAGTTATTTGTTCCATATGGACAAGTTAAAAGGGAGTTTATCTTCGCCTGTAATGTAATGTAATGTAACGTGATCTAATATAATATAATGTAATGTAATGTAATATAATGTAATGTAATGTAATATAATATAATGTAATGTAATATAATGTGATGTAATGTAACCTGATGTAATGTAACCTGATGTAATGTAACGTGATGTAATGTAACGTGATGTAATGTAATATAATATAATGGCATGTCATGTGATGTAATGTAACGTGATGTGATGTAATGTAATATAATATAATGTAACGTGATGTCATGTGATGTAATGCGCCTCCCGCCAGCAGGGGGCCCTGTGACTCGTGATTAAACGGCTTTGCGGGGCTTTAACTTCTTGTTTCCTGGATGAACAGAACGCGTTGACGACCCTCGCCAGGGAGCGATAGTCCGGACGTGAGAGCTCTGCTCGCGGCTCGCTCTCTGCCGTGTGATGGTTTCTAACAACCACCGTAGCGTTAGTTAGTTAGTTAGTTAGTTGACGATGTCGCTAGCTGCTGCTAACCAGTCCCAGTTGATTCGGTCCAGTCAGAAGGACGAATTCTACCGAACCTTCCTGAGAAACAGCACCAACGACGCCGTTCAGACCGTCGCTGGTGGGTTTAACGCGCCGCGCTGCTCACGCGAGCAGAACTTAAACTGTAGAAATAATGGCGCATGTTGTAAGAAGTGACCGAGTTACACGAAGCTGCTCGTGACGCGCTAACGGCCTCTGCGCATGCGCCCGCCTCCGAGCGCGTTACGTAGCGAGGGTTTTTACTAAAGTCTGGTTTGTGCACCAGGCTGCGACTGGTCCGCTAACTACGTCCTTTACGAGTCTCACATTTCCGCTTCCAGAGCCCGACAGCGCCACTATTAAAACCAAGAATGTTTACGAGAGAACGGAGCAGATTGAAGAACTTTTGTCAGAGGAAATGTGTAAATATGAGCGCTTATATAAGCCGTCATCGGCGGGTTTAGAGGCGGGTTGGATTCACGGAGATCGCCGCAAACGCCGGTTTGCCGGTCGAGAGGAACAAAGTTGTGGAGGAAAATACGGGACAAATGTGTCCTTGATGAAAAGCAGCAGTGTGGATGCACGAGGCAATAACGTCTATGATAAATAAATAAACAAACAAATAAATAGACGTGACTCTCTAGGTCGTCTTCAGCTAAACACGTCACTCCGCCTGTTGTTCTGGAGGTGAATTACTCTGCAACACACGCAGAACCATGAAGTGAAGCGAGTGCGGGTGAAGCCCGTATGACGTCACCGTGGTCAGCAGCAGCTGTGTGTTTCTGCAGGATCCAGGAGATGGCTGGACTGGAGGAGAGAGGTGGAGCTGCTGTCAGACCTGGCGTACTACGGCCTCACCACCTTCTCAGGTAGCTGCTGACCCACCGACATCCACCTGACGCGTAAGCATCCGCCTCACGGAGACTCCATTGCCCCTCGCAGGTTACCAGACCCTGGGCGAGGAGTACGTCAACATCGTCCAGGTGGACCCCACTGAGCGCCGCGTCCCGTCCCGGGCCAGGCGAGGCCTCTTTGTTCTCCTCCACGCCTACTTCCCTTACCTGGTGGACAAGGTCCTGGTGTGCCTGGAGAACCAGCTGGAATCCGGGCAGGAGAGGCGGCGGCGGCGCGCGGCGCCGGAGCGCTGGTGGAGCCTGGAGTCGTGGCTCCGGAGGGGGACGCAGAGGGCGGTGGGGCAGCTGTCGGAGCCCCAGAGGGGAGCGTGCGCGGCGGCCGTGTCCGTCCTCCACCAGGGCCTGACCCTCCTACGCCGACTCCACGCCGCCGTCTTCTACATCAGCGGCTCCTTCTACCACCTGTCCAAGAGGGCGGCCGGCATCCGCTACGTACGTGTCCTGTAACGGCCACCTGCGCGTTGGTGCTTTAGGTGTCACACCTGCGACCATGGCTTTTTTTGCAAGAACTCTCCGATTTGTGTGCAGTGCTGAAACGCTGATCTGTGTGAGTAAACGGTGTGTCCTGCGTGTGCAGCTGCGTGTGGCGGCGCTCAGCAGGGACGACGGGACCATCAGGAGCAGCTACAGGCTGCTGGGGACGCTGTCCCTCCTCCAGCTGCTCGCCACCGTGTGTCTGCAGTTCAACAGCTTCCGACAGAAGCAGCGAGCCAGACAGGAGTGGAAGCTCTACAGGAGCCTCAGGTGCACCGGCGTCTTCATCAGCAGACCACATCTCACATCCCAGCTCGGCTAAACACCCTTTTTCTGCCTTTCATTACATTATAGAAAAATCCAACAGATTTGACGCTTGCTACCATACAACCCTTGACCCCACAGGATAGAAATAGCACAGCTGTTTTACATTACATTGTATTTAGCGGACGCTTTCATCCAAAGCGACGTGCAATAAGTGCATTCAACCACAGGGTTTTACTGAGCCCAATGACCGTACTGGTTCAGGCTGATTATTGAATTGATTCCTCATTTATTTGCTGTGTGGAATGAAAGGTTTTCCGTGACTATTGTCTCGGACGGCGAGTAGAAGTGAGCCTAACAAGCTGTGACGCAGAGTGGAGGTGGTTCTGGATCCTCGCGTGGTGGTCCAATCTGAAAGCTAACTAACGCACTGCCTGCAGTCCTCAGCGCGCACACACCTCGGGCCCCGCGGCTGCCAGCTGCATCCTCTGCCTGGAGGACAGGAGACACTCCACCTGCACCCCCTGTGGACACCTCTTCTGCTGGGAGTGCATCACGGAGTGGTGCAACACCAAGGTGAGGCGCTGAAGGGTCCGGTGCCGGGCGAGGGAGGGATCTCGATGCGATGAAGAATGTCCAGGGAGGGCTTTGTTCCTCATAGTCGTCCATGGACAGTTATTAGATTTGAGCACATATTATTATACGTTCATTAAGTTTCATGTGAAATGATGAAGAAAAGAAGGATGCGTCTCCAGACCCCCCCTGACTGAGTGCGTGTGTCCTCCCCCAGGCAGAGTGCCCCCTGTGTCGGGAGAAGCTCCAGCCTCACAGGCTGGTGTACCTGAGGAACCTGGGCTAGGACCACGTGGCCTCGGCGTTGCCTTCAGGTTCCTAGTGCTCCCCATGAGGAATAAAACCTTGGATTGTATCAGTCGATATTGTAAATACCTTTTAATTAAATTAAAGATTATACGGATTCCAGTAAAACCTGGGTAGTGTCCAAATATCTGTCTGTTTGGTTTATTTTAATATGAAAATGATTATTTATCATCTAAGGTATATTACATGTGAGCATTGCTGAGGTAGACGGAGCGAACTGTGACACGGCGCTGGACGGTCCGTAGAACTACTGCTTTTCATATCGGACATAGAAAACATGAGCAAATCGTTCGTTCAGCATATTGGTTTTAAGCACTTTGATTACTAGTTTTAGAGGACAAAAAGAGAGTAATTCTATCAGGTACAATAAGTAAGTATAATAAGGGTTTTTTTCATACTAAAAATTGGTTATTTGGAGAAGCGTGTTTCCTTCATGCGTCCTGGAACGTGTGGAAATTTGAATGTTTTACTTGATGTATTTTTGTGTCTCCATCGGTCACCACAGCAACGTCCACAGACAAGGAGCTGCTGTTGGACATTGGGACATGCGTCCCTAGGACATGCGTCTTTCAGCCAACTAACCTTTAAGCGGCGCAAATCATCCCTGGCTGTAAAAACGAAGTGACGCAAAGCGCGGTGGCGTCCGGTCGGCCCGCGTGGACGCGTTCCAGGTGCATCCTGCTACGTGGAGACTTTACAAAGTGAATATCAGACTGAATAAAACATCCACTTCATCAACACGTGAACTATGTTTTAAGGGGTTTCTCAATGGGTGCTCGTTCTGTCCCACGGACCCCCTGCAGTGCCTTTACGTTCCCCCTTTTAAGAAGTACAGAGCATCATGTCTGCAGGGTATGCTTGGGGCGGGGCTCCCGTGTGATTGACAGGTCTACCACAGCACTGTGGGCGTTTGTCACTAGTTGTTGAACCCCTACGGTCTGAAGCAGGTTGTTGATATTTGATGGAGATGGAATGACTGGCAGATGTTCCTCTTCTGCTTGTTGGGACGTGAAGTGGAATCATTCCATATCAGCTGTGTAGCAGTAAACATGAACAACAAATGAAGACAAATGCAACACGCAGGCCCCACTAAGCCAAACAGAGGGGCTGTAAAGATTAGACTTGGCCCAAGGCAACAAGGGAGCCGACTCAGTGAGGGTTTGGTGGAGTCTTACGCAGCCCAGACCCCCAAACAGTCCCAGGAGGCCTTTTGTCTGCCTGTTGACAAGCAGCCGGTTCACTTTCCCGGCTGTCACCTCAACATCAGCTCTCAGGGATTGGTGAAGTGTCCTCAGCGACAATGTCTGTCTGTCTTTGTCTCTCTAGAGGACGGAGTGGATTCTGGATGCACGTCATGGAAGCAGTGCCCTTCAGCCAGTTGAACAGTTCTAGTTCCTCTGTTCCTCCTCACTGAGAGCAAAACACTCGACTAGATCTCCACTCTTTGCTGTCCTGCTCCTAAATGGTGGAAGGAGGTCTCTGAAGACACCAGGACCACAGAGAGCCTTCACATCTTCAGACTAAAGACACACCTCTTCAGACTCTACCTCCACTAACACACTAACTAACTGGAGCACTTACATTGGACTTATAATGGTTCTTATCTACAGCAAGATGTAAATTGGCTTATTTGATGAAATTGCACTTTCTTGTTTCTTGTTCTTCTGAGTTTGTGTCCTTATGGTTGAAATGTTCTTATTGTAAGTCGCTTTGGATAAAAGTGTCAGCTATATGACATGTGATGGAATGTGTGTATTCATACAAAAATGTATCTTTGGCTTGTTCCTGTTAGTTTAAATGGACTCTAGTTGATTGGAGGATTTCCTTCTCTTCGTTGCGTTCACGGAGCGCCCTCTGTTGAGCTTCATGATGAACTGCAAGAGGTGATTCTAACATCACTGTGTTGTTTCCTTTGATTAAATGGCCTGTACTTGTTTAGCGCTTTTCTAGTCTTCTGACCACTCAAAGCGCTTTAACATTATGTGACATCATTCACACCCTGATGACAGGACCACACAGTGACACCTGTCCATCAGTCACTAACATCCACACACTGGTCACAGCTACAGGAGCAATGTTGGGTTTCATTTCACCTGTTTGATTAGTTTTACTTTGTTACATTTTGTGAATAAAACGGATGGATTGGATTTTATTACATTCCAGTAAGTTAAAATAGTCCTTTTGAAGAATTAAATAGAGAAAATGTACAATGTTCCACGTTGTTTGATATCAAGTATTAAACTCCTAATGAATGATGTCAGAACAGTAAAGTATCACTTTTAAACTTGGAGTGTGTTCTGCCTGTAGATCCAAACCTCAGCTGATCACCTGTCAGTCATACAGCTTCATTAACACTGTCTATCATCACATTTACTGCCTGCCAGTTCAACGGCTGCTCTCAGTGTTCACACGTAATCATTTTGCATAATTTAATAATAATTACAAACAAAGTCCACTGGAATTATTTGAAGCATCCATCTAAACAATACTAAAATATTACAATATGATAGAGAACCATTTGAATTGAAACTGATACTGAAACCAGGAAACAGCCGGGATGTGGTGCACAAACCAACACGTCACCAACAGGAACCTTGTTACCTTTAAGGAAGTGGAAACAACCCATGAGAGGGTTCATGTGGCGCCTCTCAGAGAGGATGACAACGCGGTGTCCACCTGTCAGTCATACGCGCAGACAAAAGTGCCATAGGAGAACCATTTATGGTTCCACAAAGAACCTTTTAGACCATGGTTCTTTAAAGAACCATTTCCTTAAATGGTTCTTCAGAGGACCCAAAATGGACCCAACCATTTCTTGTTCTTTGAAGAACCCGAAGAAGAAAAGTTTTTTCATTGACCGAAATGGTTCTAACGAGAATTCTTTCCAAATGGTTCTTTAGCTAAAAATGGTTCTTTCAAGGAATAAATGGTTCTTTGAGTAACCGATTTTGTGAAATGTGAAAAAGGTGTAGGCCTACACTTACACAGGATATCAATGGAATCAGGGAACCCGTTCTTTTTTATTTGAGGGTCTTTTAAATCATCTTCATGATCAATCAATGCTAAAGCAAAAACCTGCAGATGTACTACACTTAACGGTGTCATGAGTTCACGTTTGTCCTCTCACCCAGGGGCTTTCTGCTGCCGCTGGCCAGGACCTCCGTGGGTTGGGCTTGGTGGTTCCTGAAAGGAGACATTTGAAACCTAAAGCTGTAAGTCTGTGATGTTTACAGATCAAAGCTTTTTGATACTCTTAGTTGCACATTAGATGCTTGTTTGTTAAATTACAGATGTCATATTTTTTATTGTACTCATAAATATAATATAATAATATACAAAGAAAACTTAAGTTGCTCCCCACAAGCACAAATGACCAACCTTGTTGATTGCAAAGAGCTGTGATGCATGGTTGGAGGCTGCATTCACCAACTGGCCTGCAAATGACAAATCATTTAAAGAGAAAAGGACACAACTCTAGTTGGGATTGAAAGGCTCCCCCAGAAAGGCCAGTGTTCTGTTCCAGTCAGAGACTACGGTGGCCCTGAAGTGCAAAACACAACGACATTAACTTCTTACGGAAAGGGGAGGGCCTTATAGCAGATAGCAGAGGACGGACCCTTCTGATTGGACGGACGGACTGTCTCTCTGCTCTGTCCGTCCTCTGCTCTCTGCTATAAGGCCCCACCTTTGACTATAGTGCTTAACCTGTTGCTGTGGAGCAAGACATTGGAAAGGAACAGCGTACGATCCATCATCCATCACTCATAACACAGTATCTACTGGCCTACAGCAGAGTTCACAGTAAAGGCAACAGGTCTATTTTATGAAGTCTATGCATTATTATTTATTATATTAATCATTTCTGGCCATTTGGATTTAAAAAGAAAAATCCATTTTGGTTGATTAAAAGAAAAGCTGTATTAATAAACATCATTTAACTTGCTATCATCAAAAACACACTTACAGTCCGCTCGGTGCAGAGATACATTCGACAGAAGGAGCTCATGTGTTCATTTGAACTTTAAATTAACAGTTTCTGTGTGATAAAAGTTTTACTATTATCAGAAAATGTCTATCTTAAAAAATCCATTTCTATTGTTGCCTGCCGGAACATACGTCTCAAAAAGCATAAATGGAAATGCTTGTTTGTGTCACTACATTAAATAATGTGTAAATACACAACAATCAGGAACTTGGCATTACTTTAAGGTGCACATAGTTTATATAGTCATAAATGTTCTTACTGCTCACTGAGCTCTGATCAGCACAGACGGCTCTTTAAGTTACTAACACCGCGTTCTGACCTTAACTTGCAAGCCAGTTAGTTTATTTACTGACTTTCCACAGCAGCCAACTCAACCCCGATCAGCTCTGTTAGATAACTGAAGGGGATTTTTTAACGTTTTTAACTGTGACAGTATATGGGACAATCCAGCTGTCAGTCATAAGAGCAGCCTTATGGTCTATGTGACAGTATATGGGACAATCCAGCTGTCAGTCATAAGAGCAGCCTTATGGTCTATGTGACAGTATATGGGACAATCCAGCTGTCAGTCATAAGAGCAGCCTTATGGTCTATGTGACAGTATATGGGACAATCCACCTGTCAGTCATAAGAGCAGCCTTATGGTCTATGTGACAGTATATGGGACAATCCAGCTGTCAGTCATAAGAGCAGCCTTATGGTCTATGTGACAGTATATGGGACAATCCACCTGTCAGTCATAAGAGCAGCCTTATGGTCTATGTGACAGTATATGGGACAATGCACCTGTCAGTCATAAGAGCAGCCTTATGGTCTATGTGACAGTATATGGGACAATCCAGCTGTCAGTCATAAGAGCAGCCTTATGGTCTATGTGACAGTATATGGGACAATGCACCTGTCGGTCATAAGAGCAGCCTTATGGTCTATGTGACAGTATATGGGACAATCCAGCTGTCAGTCATAAGAGCAGCCTTATGGTCTATGTGACAGTATATGGGACAATCCAGCTGTCGGTCATAAGAGCAGCCTTATGGTCTATGTGACAGTATATGGGACAATCCAGCTGTCAGTCATAAGAGCAGCCTTATGGTCTATGTGACAGTATATGGGACAATCCAGCTGTCAGTCATAAGAGCAGCCTTATGGTCTATGTGACAGTATATGGGACAATCCATCTCGTGTACCACGTCCCTTACGAATAAGTCCATAACAGTAATAAAGGTCACGTGCTGTGTTTGGGATTCCTGACGCAACATTTCATATTTCTGTCCTTCATACACACCATTCATGAGCAGCCTCATTCACTCCTATGAGGAGCTTTGTTTGTCTATAATCAATCACAGAAATCACGTGGTGATGTTTGTATTATTATCATGCACTTTTTTAAATGACTCTTTCATCTCCCGTTTTCCGACGTGCGAGAGAGAGACACTAAGAAGCCGTGTGGTGTTGTCAATGCACATGTTTGCCCCCCCTCTTCCTGCCCTCCGTCCACAAACAACTGTGTTTCTGCCTCGGTTGCACTTTCCAGCCTCGTGACTGCGCGCTCCGCGCCGAGCGCGCGCCCGGCGCTTCCTCCTCCTCCTGCGTGGCCGCGCTATCAGCGCCTCTGTCCGGTCACATGACTGACGGCTCACCGGGAGCGAGGAGAGCGGGCGGAGAGCTTCTGCAGGACGGTCTGTTCTTCACTGCGTGCCCGTACCTGGACCCGGAGGTAGGACCGGTTCCCCGGGGCTTGACTAATGACGGCAGAGAGGCTGTTGTCTCCTTTTAGAGATGATGAGATAATAGTGTCATCACACACGTTGTTGCTTGTCGGTGCTTTACTAGAAAGTGTTGGTGCGTTAATTAATGTTACAAATATGTTTCCACTGTGAAATGTTGACACTTGAAGGCCTCAGAGTTGTGGTACCTTGTTGTGTCTTTGTGGTACCACTGTCCTTTGGTTCCTCACCCAGAACCCAGAACCATCACCAAACTGCCTTAAAACATAAACTCTCTCTAGTGACCAGCAGGGGGCGACTCCTCTGCTCCCATAGACGTCTATGAGGAAATGACTCTACTTCTCTGTAGTGACCAGCAGGGGGCGACTCCTCTGCTCCCATAGACGTCTATGAGGAAATGACTCTACTTCTCTGTAGTGACCAGCAGGGGCGACTCCTCTGCTCCCATAGACGTCTATGAGGAAATGACTCTACTTCTCTGTAGTGACCAGCAGGGGGCGACTCCTCTGCTCCCATAGACGTCTATGAGGAAATGACTCTACTTCTCTGTAGTGACCAGCAGGGGGCGACTCCTCTGCTCCCATATACGTCTATGAGGCAATCACTATACTTCTCTCTGATTTATTCCCTCAGTAAACATGTAACATGAGTTTATGTCTCAGTCTCTAGTTTAAGTCTTCTTCAACACAACATGATGTCCATTTAGTGACTGATGGTCCATGTAGAGTCAAACAGACCATAAAGCAGAGGACGCTTTAGGACAGTCTCTAGCAGAGACGTATACGCCGTCTCTACGTCATTCTCACTTCACAAGACATCCACAAACCGATGGAACCAGAGAGCTTAGATGTGATAATAAAAGTCTTGTGTGTCATTTTCAGCGTAGCATAGCATGTGGCGCTGCCACAGCAGAGCCACATGCTTCTGAAGGTGAAGGTGAAGCAGGAAGACATGAATCCTCATCAGCTTACTGCTGTCAGCAAGATGCATGATGGGAAATCCCCCATCTCAGCCCTTCCTGGACCTCTTCCGAGGAGCTCTACAGGGGTCTGTAATTGGTTACCAGTATCAGGAGGAGGAGCACGTCCTCGCTGCCTGTGAAGGCTGAATGTTTACAGACCTCCATCAGGGAGCGCTGCCATCCTCCATCAGCCCCTTAATGTGGAGG